ACCCAGCAACACACCACCCAGCAACACACACCCACAACACACCACCAAGCACACACCACCCAGCAACCAGCACACACCACCCAGCAGCATAACACCACGTGACATGCAAGCAACACAGAACAAATACAATACAGTTGACACACCAAAGCTGAACATACGTGAACACAATAAAAACAGTGGACAATTTTCATAGTGCAAACCGTAAATGAGAATCCATGGAACAAGCAAAATTCATTAGAAAAACAATAATAAACTGCACAGCCCAGACGAGGCGGCGCCAAGTTACATACATTAAAAACCACACAATGGCGAAAAATTAAACATTTAGAAGCAAAGGTACAAAGTTAAAAAAAAATTACAATACACACACAACCCACAGAACACCCGGCACACACAGTACAGAAACACGCGATCGTTCGACCGGAACACACAGGAACCGTGAAATAAACGGCAACCACAACCCAGACACACATGAAAAACACCGGAACACGCAGGACCCGACAAAAAAAACACACACACACACCAGAAGCGCGCGCGCGCACACACACACACACACACACACACACAGAACAAACACCATGAGAAACACAACACAGAAGATAACAGTCTAACACACACGGAACAAAGTATGAACAAAGCACAAAAACAATGTACACAAAGGTCGAAACTAGGCAAACAAAACAACCACATAGCAGACAAAACAATAAGTTATAAACGTTCCGGGAGCACGTAATGCAAGCACAAAACTACGCATATTTATCGGGAAACTCCCTCTTCGGAAACCGCAAACAGTATGCCTCCCAAACGAGCTTTACATCATCAAACACCGGTCTACCAGGCGATGCACAAGGCCGAGGCATCGGCTCCGGCTCCCCATAAACAAAACACTGCACCCTCGGTACCCAATTAGTATAGGGGCACCACGGCGCCGGATACACTCGGCTATCCACAGTAAGTTCCAAAGTCTGCGACGCATCGAGCGGGACTCCATTGGCCGATACCACAGGGAGGGGTGCAGGACGAGGGGTTCGAGCACCAGGAGACGGACAAGGGTAGCCACAGAGGTCCGTATTGATAGTCACACGGTTCTTCACTCCAGGGGGAACCACAGGGAACGCATATTTGCCAGGGCCCCTACCACCGGGCACAGGATCAGAGGGCTCCCAGCGCACAGGTTTCGTGAGGACCACCACAAGGTCACGCACGACCACTAGGGGCAACCTCCCAAGGAGGGGAGGCACTAGCAGCAGGCGTCGTAGGCGCCACAGGAGGCCGCACAGGCCCTTCCATCACATCATCCTCCACAACTTCACACTCTGCAGCCCACCCACGAGCGGGCGACACACTCCTAGTCCTCCGGGAACGCTTGGACAGAGGCCGCTGATCATCCGAACTGTCGCCCGCAGCAGGAGGCATCCCAGTAGAGCCCACGGCCGGCCGCAAGTCACCGGGCAACACACGATCCGTAAAAACATCAGCCTCACCCACAGGGGGTACAGGCCCACACCCTTCAGGCAACACAGGAGCCGGAGACGGGGCTGGCGGAGGCGGGTCCGCACCATCCACCACCCCGACACCCACACCACCAACCGCACTAACTGGAGCAAGGGGGCACACAACTGATACATCCTCACGCTCGGGCAAGGGAGGAAAATCCGCTTCATGAAACACATTTACCCGATCATACATCCGAGTGTCGCAGGCAGCAGCCAAATGTCCAACGTGGCCACATTTAAAACGTCCGAGTCTGCCCACGGTAGGAGAAGCAGACCGTAACGCCAGCAAGCGCGAGAGAAGAAGGCACATTCCCATGAAGAACCATCTTAGCCGTTCTGTAACCATTACCGAGCCCCTTGACGTCCCCGGTTGTGTATCTACTGGCACGAATAGTCTACACGCCCATACCTGGCAAGAGCTCGACGGAGAAGATCCTCAGACATTTCAAATGGCGCATTCTTAATAGACACGTATGTGTACTCCACACTCAAATTCGTCACAGTTACAGAGCCAAGACCGTTGCTCAGCCCCACCACCTTGTCCTCATACTGGCCGAGAAACCTCCGGAACAAGCCACTCTCGGCGAACTTCACAACTACTCTCGTCACGAACAACCTGTAGACCGACGAGATCTTCCACCTTCACACCCATAACCGCAAACAGTGTTGCTGACGACGCCAATCACATACCCGACAGGTAAATGTCAGCCCAGCAGAGTCCTTCCCCCTTAGTGGCGGCACGTAAGTCCCCATACCGAGACTGAAAAACAGTCACCCTGCAGTGGCAAACAACCACCCGTCAGGGCAACCAACAATCACCCAATGTAAACACCAGCAGGGAGACCAGGGGAACGTCCGACCTGGCTGGTGGTTGCCACCACACTCGAGTACAAGGAACTTGTGTACACTATTTCTAAGAGGGATTATTATCTCCTGTGTGGAGCATTTTGGCCAGTGGCGTCGTGGTGTACTTACCTGACGCCATCGTTGGTGTCCGTGGCGTCCTAGTGTACTTTCCTAACGCCATGGTTGGCGTCCTAGTGTACTTTCCTAACGCCATGGTTGGTGTCCTAGTGTACTTTCCTAACGCCATGGTTGGCGTCCTAGTGTACTTTCCTAACGCCATGGTTGGCGTTCTAGTGTACTTTCCTAACGCCATGGTTGGTGTCCTAGTGTACTTTTCTAACGCCATGGTTGGCGTCCTAGTGTACTTTCCTAACGCCATGGTTGGCGTCCTAGTGTACTTTCCTAACGCCATGGTTGGTGTCCGTGGCGTCCTATTGTACTTTCCTAACGCCATGGTTGGTGTCCGTGGCGTCCTAGTGTACTTTCCTAACGCCATGGTTGGTGTCCGTGGCGTCCTAGTGTACTTACCTGACGCCATGGTTGGTGTCCGTGGCGTCCTAGTGTACTTACCTGTCGCCATGGTTGGTGTCCGTGGCGTCCTTGTTTACTTACCTGACGCCATGGTTGTTGTCTGTGGCGTCCTTGTTTACTTACCTGACGCCATGGTTGTTGTCTGTGGCGTCCTAGTGTACTTACCTGACGCCATGGTTGGTGTCCGTGGCTTCCTAGTGTACTTACCTGACGCCATGGTTGGTGTCCGTGGCATCCTAGTGTACTCACCTGACGCCATGGTTGGTGTCCGTAGCGTCCTAGTGTACTTACCTGACGCCATGGTTGGTGTCCGTGGCGTCCTAGTGTACTCACCTGACGCCACGGCAGGTGTGTCAGCCACCACAGGTGGTGTTGGAGTGTGAGTGTAGCATGGCAGTGGCCGCTGGTGGCAGCACAGGTGGTGGGGGTCCTCCAAGCGACGTGCCTGGGGGGAAACTATAAGCAGAAAGCGCCTGGATCACTGATTTTTGGAACCATGAAACTACCAAACACTTTAGCGCTCCCGGGTCGTAAATAAACGACGCGTATTTTTTCCTAAAAGTACAACCGCGTCGTAAATTTACGCGCGATTAAAAAATATTTGTATAAAATCCAATTCTTATTCGATCGACTTGGGGATAGTATGAAAATGTTTGCCATTAAATTTCCGTTTTCTCTAATAGGCACATGGCATATTTGGGAGAACGGCATTGTATTGTAACTTAGTGGAAAGACTATTGTATTGTTGACACGGCAAGTGTAATCGCGCACTTCACACACTCTTGGTGTGGGCCGCGATCATGATTCTACATTTATATGCATATGTCCGTGTAGGGAATTTAATTGCGATCACAGTGATACCAAATTTAACGCTGTAGGACAAGTGTGGAGTTGACAACCCTGAAAAGAATAGAAACATTTCGTCGCTGTTTGGAGCTCACGGCTAGTGATCGATGTAGTTCTTTAGCTTTTTGTGTGATTTAACTCATGCTTTGGTGACATATACATATGTTCTTATATGTTCCTATAGATCATTCTATTGCGAACACATTGGTATAAAAATGAAATCTGTACATCGAAAATTAAGGTCAGGACAGCGAAAAGAGTATGCACTTTTCAGTGTTGCCGCTCGGTCACCCGAAAACGTCGATTTCACTTCCAGGAAGTTCCAGTCCATATCGCCGTGCGCGTTAAAGTGCAAATATACTACTGGGATTTAGATAAATGACAGGTGAGGTGAAGGCTGAAACTATCCACTGATCCTCTACCTCTTTCTCTCTCTCCTCCCTTGAGTTGGTGACGTCTGGGCAGCGAGGGCAATGGGCTGTGACACGAGGTAATAATAATCTTTTACCTTGTTTAACCACCAGCCGGCGAATGACGCCCTTGTCGCCCTCTCCCAACACCTGGGCGTATACAGAGATGACGAACTTGTGTAGTCGTATCAACGTTGATTAAATGTTACTTTCTCAGATGTGCCCGGGGGCAGCGTTGTGGACACTGCAACTGTAGTTCTGGAGATTTGGTGTTCTAAACAAAAACTGGAACACCCAAACTGTTTGAATTTGAATCTTTTTATATTATGTGAGTCCAAGTTATGTGTGTCCTTATGCTGGGCTTGGCGGGAATAATCCAAATTTGTGTTTAAATATGGTTTTAAGATGTTTCGTGTAGATGCGCTTAAAGATTTTGAGGTAATGGATAATTTTTTAATAATTTTTTTTTTTGTGCGAAGCTGTCAGTATTATAGGTGTCTTGCGCAAACTGTGTGTGTTTTGTTTAATGTGTGGAGCTGTTGTGAGCAGTGTGAAGTTCTCTAAAGAACGCAGAGAAACCTGTTTTTTTAATCTTGTTTATGTAACTGTGTGAGAATGAGGCTAATGGTGACGTGTGCAGTTTACCTTGGGTTAATGTAAACTTTAAAACAGACTTATTTTAGGATGTGTGTCAGTCTTTCATTATCAGGATTCACTATATGTAAACAGTGTTACCTCTGGCGGCATTCTAAAGAACTAGGATCAGTTTTCCTATCTGCGAGAGCCATGAGCGAGAGGTTTTATATAATATGATAAACTATGGTCGATTTCATTGGCTGGCCGTAAGGATATGAAATATAAACTCTTTCAGAAATATCCGTTTAGTACCTGAACGCCGGGGGACGGACGGCCGCATAGTCAACAAGGCCCAAGTGCTGGATGCTAATTGGTCCAGTCAGCCAGTGCCGGATTCTGATTGGTCCAGCCAGCCAGTGCCGGATGCTGATTGGCCAGCCAGCTACTGCCAGATGCTGATTGGTTCAGCCAGCCAGGACCGGACGCTGATTGGTCCAGCCAGCCAGGGCCGAGAAGCCAACCAGGGATGCGGTTTGCTCCCAAACGGACCCGAATACCGCTCTCAACGCGGTCTTTCCTCAACTTTACCCAGTAACATGTTTTCTAATACTTTTCTTTCTCACGGACGAATATATATTAAATAAGCATATCCCATATTAGTTAGATGTGTTGTCCGTGGCTGATGAGAGTGTGAGTGAGTGAGTGAGAGAAGAGAAGGGTTAATAGAGTTATGAAACCATTGTTAGTCTTGAATCCTTTTACGGTGTGCGTTCCACCGGGTTTTATAGTTGTGTAAAGGTTCTTGCTTTTAGCTGCGTGCTCGACACACCGTTAGTGTTTATGTACAGTTTCAGATGCTTTTCAAATTATACTGGATTACCTAGGATTAAGTAGTCTATATATAGAGTTGAGGTATTCCGATATTTATAGACAAATGTATTGTTGCTAGGAATGATGCTGGATATCTGCCAAGTATTTTATGAACGTAAAAAAATTCAAAAAAATAATATCCTGAACCAAATGAGACATGGAGAATATTTGTGGTCAGATGCTATGAGAGTGTTTGTTGTGGCGCGTTTATCTAGACTAAGCTAACATGTCAATCACTGTGTTCTTCTTAACGATTGTTCCAGTTGCCCGCACTCCTATTGAAACCCATTACATAAATCCTCTTTGAAACCCATTACATAAATCCTCTTTGAAACCCATTACATAAATCCTCTTTGAAACCCATTACATAAATCCTCTTTGAAACCCATTACATAAATCCTCTTTGAAACCCATTACATAAATCCTCTTTGAAACCCATTACATAAATCCTCTTTGCACCACCAGTTGACCCCTAATAAAAACAAGAAAAAACTTGCATCTAATTACACTTTCGATGATCAAAACTTCGCTTTCAATTTACATCCCATGCACAATATTCCAGCCTGTCCTCTCAATTTGCCACTCCGTAAAAAATGCAACTTTTTTTTTTTTGCCTAACTAGAACATACGAACCCAAGCAACCTAACCTAGCCTATCTAGGCCGATACATATAAAACGTCAATATTAAGGGGTTTTAATATTTACTAATACGTCGCATTTTGTTAACGCATTAAGTAGGTTCCGTAAAAAAATGGAACGTTTTGGGTGAGAGGATAGGCCGATATTTTCCCCGAGGGCATTCTTGTTTATTTTCTATGCTTAGCATTTAAAAGACAGATATTGGTATTCAAATTCCTTCATAGGATTCCAATTGCTGGACGTAAGTGTTATTGGATTCTTATATACGACCTTTTTAGTGAATGGCAGAAATTCCAGGCTGCATTAGACAATTTAGGGTCTTGTTTTGAAAATGTGTTGATATTCAGGAGGCTAGGCCCCGGCCGTTCTTGAGGCTAGGCCCCGGCCGTTCATGAGGCTAGGACCCGGCCGTTCTTGAGGCTAGGACCCGGCCGTTCATGAGGCTAGGCCCCGGCCGTTCTTGAGGCTAGGACCCGGCCGTTCATGAGGCTAGGCCCCGGCCGTTCATGAGGCTAGGACCCGGCCGTTCATGAGGCTAGGACCCGGCCGTTCATGAGGCTGGGACCCGGCCGTTCATGAGGCTAGGACCCGGCCGTTCATGAGGCTAGGACCCGGCCGTTCTTGAGGCTAGGCCCCGGCCGTTCATGAGGCTGGGACCCGGCCGTTCATGAGGCTAGGACCCGGCCGTTCATGAGGCTAGGCCCCGGCCGTTCATGAGGCTAGGACCCGGCCGTTCATGAAGGTAAAGCCAAAGCGTTGTTGTTATACTGCCTCGCTTCTTTTCCCTCACTGGTGCGTCTGGCGATTACCATTTGTTGGCTTTGAGTGTAGTGTATGCAAGTCTTTGTATACTCTCGTATTAAAGAAAGCCTTAAACAACTGAGTCTTTAGTCTGTGGCTTATTCTTCCACATGAACTGATACGTTTGGATATAATTTGTCTCATCTTTCCACATTACATTTGAGTGCGATGTAAAGTAATCAGTGTATCTCTCCAAAGGCTCCCTTGTATAGCCCAGCAAACACTCAAGGTAGCTCACACTGTCGTAGCGAGATAGCCTCACCGTCGTATAGCAAAGTAGCCACACTCATATAGCAAGGTAGCCACACTGTCATAGCAAGGTTAGCCACGATATTGTGACAGCGTAGCATCATGAGTGTTTGCCGGGTTATACATTTCTTGATAAACAATTGAGTAAGAACCATTTGGAGCCTGTCTGTCTGTCTGTCTGTCTGTACTCTCGGTGTGAGATTTAGACATGTACCAATTCTGTAGTCCCTAGGATCCGTGCCCTCCCCGTCGCCCCAGCAAGAGTTATGATATATTTTTGTAATTAAGTATGCTAGTATCGGGCTGTTCTTATGTTGGTGGGCCGGCGGGCAGGTGGCGGCATATGACGTGAGTACTTGTTTGTTGTGGTGTTTGGTCTGGGTGGGGCGACCATGGACGGGGTCCCCAGATGTGACCCTCATGTCAGGCTCGGTGCACCTCAACCGGCTACATATGGTCGCCAAGCCGGATATATAAGTACCAAGACAATCGGACATGTTTATATTGCCAATAAGGCCGGTCTTGGTCGCTAGGCCGGACTCGGTCAACGGGCCAAACTGGTTCACTTGGCTCCTCGTCTCTGGCCGGTCACTCGAGGCCATCGCCAAGTTGTCAACAATTATTATTATGATTTGAAGGCCAAGTTTGGTCAATATTTTTGTTGTCAGTTGATACATGTCAAGACATTGATGGATGGAACCAATAAACTTGTAAACAGTGATCCTTTGTTTATCTCACTCCCTCGTCAATCCTTTAATTTACTGTATATTTGGGCGTTTATGCATTTTTCACAGTATTTTGTTTTCACTAAGCGTACTCTCTATTTACAGTCTACTGTACATTTACACTAAGAGGACTGAATATTTATACTGATCACTGACCATTTACACTAAAAGTACTATATATTTACACTAATTTAGTAATTACTAAAAGAAGGCACCAAATTTACACTTAAATATACTGTACATGTACACAAAGAACACTACATTTACAATACAAAGATTGTACAGTTACACTACGAGGGGTGTACATCCTCTAGGAACTTTCACTGTAAAACTACTATTACTTACCTAGATATTTATTCTCAAGTCAATCAATAAAGTTTATGAATAAATAGTTACAAGGTAAGAATAATATAGCCGCCCAAGTCAATAAAATATCACATAGGTAAATATAATCTAATAATTTTGAATTTATGGTGAAATCACTCTAGAACACGCCCAGCAGCTCACAGGTAAATTCATGTGACAAAGCTTTTAGTGATATGCATTGAACAATTATTCACAATATTAAGTCAGGTTCGCAAAATCTTTAGCTGTCAGTTCCAGTTTGAAAAAACAAATTAAACTGGGTAGCCTCAGACATGTTACCACAAAACACACTACACTACACAACACGGAAATAACAATAGCGAGATATAACAAATGAACAAATCTACAATAATATAGCCACAAAATTCAAAATAATTGTCACAAAATTCAAAATAATGATCTCGAAATTCATATTGATATCCTATCGGCACTGAAATAAAGCTTATTTCCTGTTCCAAATATTTTACAAGGACTAATTGTAGAGTATGCAACGGGTAACTAAGGCGTGAAGGCTCACGGTAAACACAGTCGTCCTCAAACAGCTGCACTGCTCCAGGGCTCCCCTGCTTCAACCTCGACCTTGCCACCACTACCACAGGTCAGTGTGTAGGCGGACCAACCGTAAAATCTTGGTTAGGCACCAGTTCTCACCTCCAGAACCTCCCAGTGAATTCCGTTGAGTTCGAGGTTGGTTGACTTTTTCTCCCGTCATGGCTAAGTGGGTTACGGCAGTTGTCTGGGGATCATCAGCATGCTGGTTCAAGTCACCCGATTGCCCCAAAATTACTTACTCTTTGAATATTACGCCATTGTGATATATATATATATATAATATAGTATATAGTATAATATAATATATATATAATATATAGAACTTTTAGACAACACCCACCAGGGGACTTGAACCCTGGCCACCAAGATGGCAGGTACGCACTTACACCCACTGTACTATACTCAAGAGCCCCAAAAGAGGTGGAAAGAGCCCCAAGTGTGTGCATTAAGCATGGACCACGTATTCTCCCATATAACAGGGCTTGATGGAAAGCGTCAATTGCCTCTCACTATACCATTGCCTGGAGAGGATGGGTTGTCTGGGAGTTAAATACCCCAGAATTCCAACCTCTATTGGGGCTCTGAGTATAATGCAGTGGGTATAAGTGCGTACCTGCCATCTTGGTGGCCAGGGTTCAAGTCCCCTGGTGGGTGTTGTGTATCTAAAAGTTCTATACTTGTAACTTGCGTGATTAGGCAAGTGTGTGCATTATAACACTTTCCTGAGCCGTGGACACAGAGCGTGTCCACCGGGGGTCACTTGAAGTTGCCGAAGTGAACATTATTTTATGTCCTTCGAACAAATATTTCTATAAAATTCAATTCTTATCCGATCGACTTGGGGATAGTATGAACATGTTTGCGATAAAATTTACGTTTTCTTTAATGGCCCCATAGCCTACTTGGGAGAACGGCATTGTCTTGTATCTTCGTGGTAAAACTATTTGTAGATCACCGATGTGTAGTAACAGATAACACTTCGCCCACTTCCCACACTCTTGCGGGTGGGCCGCGATCATAATTCTTCATTTATATGCATATGTCCGTGTAGGGAATTTTATTGCGATCTCAAAGATACCAAATTTAATTTTTAACGCTGTAGGACAAGTGTGGAGTTGACAACTCTGAAAAGAATGGAAACATCTCGGCGCTGCATGGAGCTGTTTGGCGCTCACAGCTAGTGTCCACGTAGTTTCTTTATTAGTAGTGGTTTAAACCACAGTTTGGTGACATTTTTTACGTATGTTCTTCTAGAACATTCTATTGCGAACACATTGGTACAAAAATGAAATGTACATTGTAGCCGAGAGCACTTTGCACTAACGTTTTTCCTAGTATGCCGGGCGGCTGAAAGTATTTAAATTAAGCATGGACCACGTGTTCTCCCATATAACAGGGCTTGATGGAAAACGTCAATTGCCTCTCACTATACCATTGCCTGGAGAGGATGGGTTGTCTGGGAGATAAATACCCCAGAATTCCCACCTCTATTTGTGCTTAGAAAATATATTTTTAAACCAATTGGAATGCGGTAATACCACGACCGGCTTCCCAGTTCTCACACAAACACAATTCGAAGCCTCTGGAGTGTTTTGCCCGGTCAGCTGATTGAGGTAAGAACCACTGCAAACCCGAGGTGAATGCAGTTAGTCGAGCAGAGCGCCAGCAGCTGTAGCACTGGCAACGACAGCCACGGGAACAGCTTTATAATATAATTCACTTCTCTGTTATTTGTGCTTGACGAAACTCTAACATTGAAAGTGTTTTTTCAGTGCAGTCCGCTGCCAGCCAACTGATCCTGGGGTTTGATTTCTGGCCACAGCGAAACAAGACTTTACTTTCCGGATTAAAATTAAATCTACAGTGGATTAATGAATCAGCATCCAGTTCATTTACAAAATTTAATTAGCATCATTATATATATATTATATATGCGGAAAATCCACAGAGAAACATGAAATGAGGTGAACGTTTCGGCTTTGTTAAAGCCTTTGTTAACACCAGACTGACTCTGGTGTAGCCGAGTA